TAAATGTACACAAGGTAGTCAAATAATGTGGTTGAAAGATTCATGAAGTAAAGCTGTTTTGCATCAGTGGGGACAGTGTGAAAGATCATGCTTCTTGACAGGGCCAGCTGGTACACCTCCAAGAAAAGACTGCTTCGTTGATTTCACTACTAGTTAATCATAAATCTGATCTGTAAAAGATGGATGGATAGGATGGGAAGGACAGCTCATTAAGAGTTTTGGCAATTACGGCTTTTTTTTTAAAAAATGTTTCTTAGAGTATCGTCTCTGCTAGAATGAAGCTTTGTAGTCTCACAGTAAGCAGATTAACTAAAAGCCCAGGAATACCCTCAATTTTAAATTTCTTTACCCTCAGTCACAGGTAAATATTTCCATTTGAGAAGTTTTTGGCTATCTTTAGGCTTTGACGGGCAATTTTATTTTAGAGAGAGAACTGAAGAATGTAATTGTGCGGACATCCTGCCAGATGGATTATCATGAAAGCTTACAGAATATACAAGAAATGTTCTAGTTTGATAAAAGCTTTGTCAACTATGTCAAGTTTATAGCAACAGTCCATTCCTTGTCAGCTTTGACACAACACTTTAAACCGTAACCTTTCTTTTCTTGTTTGTCCCTAAAATCTTCTCTTAATATCATAATATAAAATGTAGTAAAGCCTTAAAAGTCCTGCAGTCTTCAAAGAGCTCTCACACTTCATAGTTCAGTTTCTCTTTAAAATTACAAAGTCTCTTAATTTTGGAGTCCTAGAAAAATCCAAAGTGGCTTAAATACTTTACTACTCAAAGAAGGAAGAACCAGAGAATAAAAACAAGCACATTTAAATAAAACCAAAGTCTAGCCTTGTAATTGCCAACTCTGTTAGCTCAATGACTGACATCCGGGACTCACTGTGGTCCTGGCTTTAAAGGCAGCTCCACCTCTCCAACACTTCTCCCATAGGCTCGGCACAGCTCCCTTCCATACCGGCCGCTGTTCTAGGTGGGTTTCCACTAGTCCTGGCATCTCCAGGATCCTGGGGTCTCCACTGCAACCCAAGCAGTACCTTCACAAATCTCCTCAACGACCCCTCAGCCTCTCTCCATACACCTTCAATCCTGAGATTTCTGATAACAGAATAATTGTTTCTCCAGTGCTAATTTGAAATGATAAATTGGAAAAACCCATAATCACTTAAGATGACCAGCATATTGCTATTATAAATTGAGACACAATTTTTATATTAAAAATTAATTATATAAAGTAGTCATGGTGTTTTTGTTTTACTTTTTTGTTTATTATTCCATGGAATAGTTAAAGTGTGTTTACAAGTACTTTCAAGTTGAATTTAATAATTTAGTGAAGTTAAAATTCTATTATAATTTCACCAAAAATGTTAAAGGATCAGACCTCACTGAATAAGCAGAAGTTTATATGAATCAGCCCTTGATGTATACTTACATAAATTGCTATTTAAAAAATATGTATGTTGAAGTAAGCTTCATGATTTTCTTGACAAACTGATACCACAGGAATCTACTTGTGTGTTATTAGTGCCACTCACCACTTGATTAGACTGCCAGCCTTCTCGACTTAGGTAGAAGAGTGACTTCACTGAAAGATGCCCTTAATTATCCTCTGAGTAAGCTGCTGAAACTGCTTACTACCCCTTAATTAAGATGGATAAAACTGCAGTGAAGTAGTCTATGGTAAAACAGACAATTGGTAAAATAAGTCTCTTATTGTCATTGTTGCTGCTGCTGCATTTTAAATAGTCTTTTTAACTTTTCCTGATGCATCTAACTACTTTTTATTGGGCATCTGTCAATAAATAAATAAGACTGTGGGCGCCTGTGAGTAAGCTAGATAATGGCCCCTTTCTACGCAGAATGTAACCTGGCAAGAAATAAAAGCCAGTGAGAAGGCAGTTGTAAAATCTTTTGTGATAAACTAACTTAGGTATGTTGGTTAGAGAAGGCATCTTAGAGGAAGATGTGGATAATGCCCAGGTTTGCAATGGGTGAAGCTGAGTTTGAGATTGTTATGAGTGAAGAAGAAAAAGGAGGAGGAGGGAAGAGCTCTCAGGAAGAATGCTCCAGTTTCTTCCTTGAATAATCATTAGTTTCCTCACTCACAGAGTGGGGTTTGAGTGTTGAGAGAAGCAGAGGAGTTTCATTTTGACTTTGTGAATTCTGGGAACCTCTAGGACCATCTAAGAGGCAAAAGGTTCAGGTTATACAGACCATGTATTCAGAGTATGGATCTGATGGGCTACCCAGCGTGGGATTTTGGGCAAGCTAACCAAGTCCCAGTATTAGCTAGCATTACATACTTATCCCTTACTTTATACCACTCAAGGCAAATTTTCTACTGTCTTATTATTCACCAGACTATTAATTTCAATTAGTGAAATTAGAGTTTGAGCTTTTAAAGTTAAGAGAGAATAAGGAATGTAACTTTTCATGTTTCTTGAAAAGTGATTTTGGTGGATTGTTTGTTTGTTTGTTTGTTTTTAAACCCAGTCCCTCAGTATGTCTCCTTACTCCATTTTCACACAGTTTTAGATTAAATCATTCTGGAAGGCATTCATTTAAAACTGCACATACCTGATTTACTTTCAGCATAGAAGGAACACTGCTTGACTTTAATATGTCTTGAATTATAACAATATATGACTATTTTCAAAGACTTTTTAATATGAAACTGTATCCTGTATTTTTAGAAGCTTCACTTGAAAAAATTGGAAGCTATAAAAAGGTACTCAAAATATTTCCATTATTTTTAGTGCGTCATGAGTACTTGTGAGTTAAATTTATACCAGCTAATGTACATATACATAGTACTGTATAAGTAATAATTGTATGTAATTCATTTCTTCCAGAAGATAAAATGATCTTGATAAGTTTTACTAGGTGTAAAATTAAACTGTGAAAAGTATAGGTGTTTTGATTTCTTTACAAAATAAATTGAAACAGTTCATTACATTTGTAAGGATTATAATATAATATAATATAATATAATATAATTTATAATATAATAAAATTATATATATATATGCCAAGTAAGAACTTAGTGAAGTCCCATAAACCCCACCAAGCATTATAGGATATTGCCATTTCTTTTAGTTATCCTCAAAACCTTGATGGTAAGACCCTATTGCTAAAGATGATATATATTCTTGAGTCACAGAATATGGTAACATCAGTCTGGAGCCAAGCAGGACATTTCATCCATACTGGCTATCTTGGTAGTGCTGGCAGGTACTGGGCCTGCTCATGGAGGGGGAAAGTGTTAAACAGTCTTCTGCAGCTGTGAATAATGGCTGGCCTGGCAAGATGTGCCCACTGGTATAATAGTGGCAACAATGTTGTGGGAGTAACCAACCATTCTCTGATTTTATTTGAGGCCAGTTCTATAAGACAAAACTCATATACTGGGCCAAGAACCTGTGACTGGGTAAATCACAGGCCTGTGTCTGGGTAGATTATAGGTCCTAAAAGAGAACCTTGTACTGTTTGCTAAATGAACATGGTATTAAACTGCCCATATGTAGTTATTTTTCTGCCTAAAGATCAGTACATTTGTCCACCATCATCAGAGACATTTATTTGTGCAACAGATGTCAATTAACACAGAGACCTAAAACACGTCACAATGCAGAGAACAAGAGACTGGGGATACCTCAGTCCTAAATGAGACATCTACAGTACACTTCAGGGATCATTTCAGAAGATGGGTGAAAAGATTGTAAGAGCTAGAGGTAGTGGATGGCTGTAGTGAAATGGTGGGTTTTTCTTTTTTGTTGTTGTTTTTTGTTTTGTTTTGTTTGTGGGATTTTGTTGTTTTTCAGGATTTTTGTTTTTGTTTGGGTTTTTATTGCGGGGGTGCATAAGAGTTTTAAACATGAACTCATAGCAGCTATGACAGCAAAGTCCAAGCCTGGATGGCAGAGGAAGTCATGAGTCATGACATCTCATTCATAGTTGAAGAACTATTAGCAGTTGACTGCTGGGAGGATCCTTTTTCTCCATAGAAAGAAAGGTGTTGCCTGTGTGCATACTACAAGTACTGAGTGGACTTGGTGGAAGTCTTAAGAAAGGATAGGGAGAAATAGGAGAATTGGAGAAGAAGGAATGGGGCATGAGTGCAGATTTAATAATAATTTTTAAGAATGTGATTAAGCTACATTTTGTTGGCCAAAAAAAAAAAAAAAAAGCTTTCTTGTGGAGGGAGCCCCTGTTTGTGTTCATGTGTGTGGGCATCCATGTGGGCAGATTCTGGTGTATTTGGTGGAAACCGGTTCCGTATTTCCTGAGAACACCCTCTGTCTATCTAGGCCTGGAGTCCAGGTGGGCCCAGAGCTCACTATGTGCTCTGGGAATCTGAACTCTAGCCCTCACACTTGCAAGGCCAGTGTATCCACTGAGGCATTTTCTTATTGAAGGTTATAAAACAAAGTTTTGTAAGTATGTACTTCATGGAGATAAGTGTTTTCTAGGAACAGCTGTGTTTGTTATTTTAGTGTGTGTACTAAGATGCTTCTGGACAAAGGCTCAAACTGAGCCAAAGTTTTCAGAAGTCTTTTCTAGTCATGAAAATATTGCTGTTGAACTGGAGATGTGGCTCAGTCAAGTATGATTCCAATCCCTGGAGTGCAGGCAAAGAGAGGCAGAGGGATAGGTCAAGAGGCTCATTGAGCAGACCACCTCGCTGCATCACCAACTTTCAAGTTCAGTAGAAATCAAGGTGGAGAGACACTTTGTTGCCCTTGGGCCACTTGTACACAAACCAGCCTCTGTGAACACATACACAAGCAACTGCACAAATGCAGAAAATGACTAAAACTGTTTTGAACATAAGGCTAAATGGAAACACGGATGAGGCTACATTTCCTAATACCGGTTTCAAATTTGCAAGTGAGTTCCATCAAGAATTCCCTGAGATTAGCTTGAACTTAAAGCAGTGTTTTATTAAGAAAACGTGAACATTTTCTGAGTTTTCGTTGTTTCTTCTCATTTTAGGAGTTCCAAAATCTAATCTTTTACATACCAAATCGTTGAGAGGCCATAAAGACTGCTTTGAAAAATACCATTCAATTGCAAACCAGGATTGTTCTCGATCCAAGCTGTCCAAAAGTACTTACGAAGGAGTTAAAACCATTCTGAGTAAGAAGATAAACTGGATTATACAGTATGCCCAAAATAAAAACCTGGATTTGGATTCTGAGTGTTCCAAAAGTTCCCAGCATCACCTGTTTAATTTCAGGCATAAGCCAGATAAGAAATTACTCCCCCAGTTTGACTCTCAAGTGCCAAAGTACTCTGCAAAAAGGACAGCTGGAACCATAGGTGGCATCTCAAGCTATACGCAAAGAATTTTGGAGCAGAGGGAAAATACGGACTTTGGGCTTGCAGTGTTGGAAGACTCAGCTACATTATGGCCTCACAGTCACACCCAGGCACAGAGAACAGAAGAGACAAGCTCTGGTCCAGAGGCAAATGTCCAGACCCAGAATCCACATTATAGCAGAGAACAATGTAAGTAGTGTGACAAGAACAGTAAAGACTGTTATTTGGCCTTTGCTTTGGGGGCTTGGGTGGTAGTTGATTTTGACTGGTTTGTTCTCTCTCTCTCTCTCTCTCTCTCTCTCTCTGTGTGTGTGTGTGTGTGTGTGTGTGTGTGTGTGTGTCCCATATGTATTTGTGTGTAAAATGTGTGGAGAATTTTATCGTAAATCATGGATTTAGTGAACATATTATTTAAGTGACAGATTCACCTCAGCAAAAGTGTGATGTCTTTAAAACCTTCTCTGGAATGTTCTTGAATGTGTGTTACACACCGAATTTCATTGACACCATCACTTATTTTGCTATTACTAGTGACCAAATGGTATGGAATCAGCAAACTAAATTGAAAGTTCAGAGTTCCTACTATCTTATGTAACTGGAGCTGTTAGCCGGTATACATTGTCATGTTGCTAACCTCTTATATGACTGATTAGCCAGGGATTCAATTAATATATATTAATTATATATATTGATTGCTTTTAGTAAATTGTCTATATAGACAATTATATATACATATATATATATATATATATATATGTATGTATATATATATATAAAGAGAGAGAGAGAGAGACAGTTTGCTAAAGGCAGGAGGTAACATGAACATTTTTTAAATCTTTAAATCTTCAACGATTTTTTTATGTATATGAATGCTCTTATCTGCATGTACACCTGCATGTCAAAAGAGAGCATCAGATCTCAGTGTAGATGGTTGTGAGACACCATGTGGTTGCTGAGAATTGAGCTCATGACCTCAGGGAGAGCAGCCAGTGCTCTTAACCATATCTCCAGCCCCCAGGGGAATTTATTTTAAAATTTGAAATTACTTCGCCTGCACCTTTGCTACGAAAATCTCACTATGATAATTTTACTTGGCTTAAGTTAACTTATTTTAGATGCAGAAGGGGCCTTGGCTTTAGATGAGTTCTTTACTCTTCATGTAAGGTTGCTTTTCAAGGTAGGCATTTCACTATTCTTTAAAGTACTGTCTTAAAATCCATGTCATGGCTTAAAATCCATGCTTGCTCCGAGTCATTGGGAATGGGCAGAGACTAGTACCTCTGAGAACAGACACAGGAGATACCAGAATCCAACAGTCCCATTGCCTATTTTTTCTTTTCTCGAACTCTGTTTCCTGTGAAGTGTTACTGGTGGTGATGTATAAAATGTGTTTCTTATGAGGTTTTTGTGGTTAGAGTTTGCTACACTTTAAGAAGCAATGAAGGAAAACCTGGGTTTTTGTTGAATGTTGAGTTGGGAATTAACTGCATGTCCTTTACCTACGCTGTCTGTGGTAACAGTGAATGTGTTTTCCTGTTTCAGTGAATTCAATGACTCTTGATGAAGTAGAACAACTGAATGCAAAGCTCCAGCAGCAAGTCCAGGGTAAAGAATCAGTCTCAATGCTTGTTGTTATATGTGATGCAGATGTTGATGCTGAATACCCCCTGTGATTGAACGTTGTTAGCATCTGCAGCATTTAAGTTTGGAAATTAGATATTCGGACCTGTTGGTTTCTGAGATACACACTAAGAGAAAATTTCCTTGAGACCTTCAGGAATAGTAATCTAAGAGTAGAGACTAAACCGACCTCTGCCTCTAGCCATCACAGACATTACACAGGGCCTTCACTGTGCCGGGCACTCTGGGAGATGCACCCTGGTAGTCCCTAAAGGCAGTGGTATTAGCCCTGGTTATCTATATAAGCTATGAACCACTCGGAACACATAAAAAGCGGTGAGATAAGCGCAGGGACCAGTGCCTGTGGCCATCAGCTTTGACTGCTACTTTTTCCTCATCACTTGTTTCCATTTCTTTTGCTCCACCTCAACCCACCTGCATGGATTATTTTGAGACCCCTGACAATGTGCTGTTTTGTCTGTAAATATGTCAGGGTTTTCTTTTCATAAAAAACAAAACAAAACAAAAAAACCAAAAAACTATTTATTGTCTTCCAGCTTATTCCTATTTAGGTGAAGCAATCATTGCTCTTTGGAGACCTCCAAATTGCTTACAAAGATTATGCATCCAGTCAGTAGCAGACTTAAGTGCAAAACTTTCAGCATACCAGCCTCTTGAAATATAATACTGATAGCCCCAGTTTAAATTCATTCAGTTCTTACTTTGAACTCTTTACAAGTAGGACCTCATTTTATTCTCCCTGTGTTTCTGTGAGCTGTTTGCCATTGTTATTGATCTTACCCATCGAAGGAAATTCAAGTAGACAGTTGAGGTTACTTGTCTGAGTAGGAACTAGGATTCTGAAAATCTGGGTAATCTGTTCCAAGCCTCTTAGAGCAGTTTCTAGACCTGTTTATTAATGAACATTCGTCTGATACATCATCATATATTGATTGAACCTATTTATAGCTTATAATGGAGAAGCGGCTCCGGTGGTGGCCACTATTTCTGCTCTCTGTACTGCAGTCTTTCTTAAGCTGCCCTTGATGAAGACCAGGCAGCATTGCAGTTATTGGTATGAAATATCAATAGGATAGGACAATCAACACTGATAGGCTTAGAAGAAAACAGCTCTTTTCCTTGGTATCCAATTAGTTTGTTGTTAAAATTAGCCCAATACACTGTACCTTTATTTACTTAAGCTAAGAGTCTTAGGGCTAGCTTTCTGTACACTGAAAATGAAACTGCCTCTTAACTCCTCGCAGAAGTCTTTGAAGAGTTAGCACACCAAGTGCAAGAAAAGGACTCTTTGGCATCAGAGCTTCATGTCCGTCATGTCGCCATCGGTCAGCTCCTCAAGAACTGTTCCAAGCTACCATGCCTCCAAGTGGGACGTGCCGGAACAAGGCCACACCTGCCCGTGAACGACTGAACTAAGCAGAGTGGCTGTGCTTTATCAGCTGTTGGTCTGCGAAGCATGTGTACCTAGAAAACGTGTGGAGAACGTTATGGTCCATTTTATGGTTGTACTTGCAAAACATAAGATAATATTTATTATCTTTATCTAATAAAGCAGATCACTCTAGTCTAGGGTTAATCATTTGGCTTCATTTGGAGATTTTTTTTTTTCTTACAATTACTAAATGACCCTAACTTTTACCATGTGTGACTACTTTAATATACCGTTACAATATGTTTTTATTGAACATTTTTTATTGTAACTCAGCTGTCAAAACAATGGAAGCCTAATAAGGTCTTATGTTAGTCCAAACTACTAGAAATAATTTTAAGAGGGAAGTAGAATTCATAATATCACCTTATTTATGAGCAATATTTTAATATAAATTTTATATATCAAATTGCTATTTTGGGTATTTTTCATTGTCTTTATAAATGTGTGTTTGCACTTATGTGTGAGTATGTTCATCTATAGGAAGATCACTGCATTTGGGGGATACAGTGTTTTTTGTAACTGTTATCTTCCTTTCTAAAGATAAACATGTTTTGCATAGTATTTGGAGAAGCAGTCTACCTAATAAGCTCTTTTAACTAATAAGAACATATGCAAGTGGAATTAATGACTAAAGCAAATATCCAAGTAAATGAAGTGTATTACTGTTTTCTAATGAAAGCAATTCTGAATTAGCCTAGGAAGAAAATACAATTCTAGTTTTTGTGTCTCCGTCTCCATAAAAGTAGAAGCCCCACTTTGCTTTTTATCTCTCATGACCCCCTTTGATTGTTAGGTTTTGGACAAAGTAGTTCAACTCTCAGCCCCGAGCCCAGTGTAACTCCTGTCTCCAAATTGTACTTGTCCTCTTTGGGGGAAAAACAAAATTATTATGTGTGCCACTTCCACAAAATTTCAAGAATCAGTTAGCTGTGCACATTCTGCTTTCTGCTGTCAACATCACTGAAACTAGTCGAAAGAAAAGAAAGAAAGAAAGAAAGAAAGAGAGAAGGATTTTAAGGTACTTTTCTAAATTTTAAAATCTCAAGGGATAGGAGATTACAGAACAAAAGAAGACCAATATTCAATTCAATAAAATAAGCCCACTTTTAAAAGGATAATAAGCTACTTTAGTTCCAGATTCTTAACTAATAAATTACCTCAAGAAGTTAGATAAATGTTAATGATAAAATAAAAGCTATAACTAATTCAATATTAAGATGGACTCTGGATTGTTTTTAGCTGGTGCTTAGAATGTATTTGTGTGGTAGGGTTTTTGTTTTGTTTTGTTTTGTTTTGTTTTGTTTTGTTTTGTTTCTTGCAGAAATCTAAGGAAAGAAAGCCCATTGACTTAACAGCTTCATACATGAAGATGACTTCTACCTTGAAGTTGGCAGTCTATATTTGGGCAAGGGTCACACTTTAATATTGAACACAAATACTGTTTGACTAAAGAAATGCTTCACTGTAAAAAAAAGCACCTTTTCCTAATGTTAAGATGTAGTAAATTGGCCTGGGTTTGTGCATTAGTTGATATCCAATTGTTTTTGCTTTTACCTATATTAAACTTCACATTGAAGCTTTTTGGAGGGAACTTTTGGGGGAAAAAAAACTTTTTAGTTTCTTCTCAAGTTCTTTGAGTCTTCCGAGATGAATTTAAAGTATGGAGAGTGGAGAGAAATGCATTGCCTTAGTTTTGATAAGCTTTAACTTGAATGTGTGCAATATAGAAGGATCCACATTTGCAAGCTGGGTAAAGACTTGTGCTGATTATGCCAGTAAGTATTTTAGTGCTTCGTCGTCATGGTTACATTTTCAAGTTTGACTGCACTCGTTTGGCCTAACACATGAAGAATGTTGTCAGCCAGTGTACCGCACACATTTGTGCTTCTGTCTGGATGGTATAAAGGCAGTCAGGGCAGCGAGAGGAGTGTAAGATCCTCAGTAGTGTGGGGGGGGGGAGGGGGGGTACTTAGTGTATTTCTGTCACAGGAGACATAGGGTGCGATCCTAAAAACCATGTTATCCAACGACAGCGTTTGCTTGTCTCTTTAAGGAGTTTTCTGGCAAACATTTAGTTTCCTAATGAATTTGGAAACATTGGACTTTTCTCACGTACTAAGGTCTTAATTGGGACCTGATTCATTTCATTTAGATATTTCTCCAGAAACATCAAAGGAATGGTGCTCCTCAGTCTCGCTGGTGCTGGTAGTAACACTTGTACTCACTCAGAAGAATTTTGGAGTATAATCTGCTCACCAGTTACTTCTTGTGGGGGTGTTTGTTTGTTTTTAGACAGGGTCTTGCTGCATAGCTTTGGCTAGCCTAGAATTCTTGGACCAATTACAGGCTGGCCTGTAATTTGTGGCAATTCTTTTGCCTCAGGAGGAGATCAGGTTCTGTGATTCAGGTGTCTTCCCTACACCTAGATTCATATGCTCTCCTGATTGAATTTGCAATTACTGTATATGCAGAAATAAGGATGGGGATAGTTAATTCCAACTTAGGGGATAGGAGCTATCACAAATAGTGGTTCCTACATTTGGTTCTTTCTCTGAAGTTGTCACTATGTTTTGAGAAAGTTCAGAAGAAACTCACATAAGATTTCTTTTTTCTTTAATAACAGAAGGCAGACAGCTAGTGAGGCATGCATTTCAGAGCGCCCATGACCATGAGAAGTGAATTTTCTCATACTAGATCGTAGTTGAACAAGATGACTATTTTTAAAATGAGAAGTCAGATGTGATTATTAACATGAGTTTTGTCTTTAAAGATTGGTGTTTTTATGTGCCTAGCATCCATCAGGCCCTGGGCTCAATTCCTGTCTCCATAGGAATTAAAAAAGGGTTTGGGTTTGGATTTATCATGTTGCCCATGCTGGCCTCAAGCTCAGTGTCGATCTTCCTGCTTCAGCCTTCTGAATGTGGGGGACTGACATACACTGCCATGCCTGGCTTAAACGTTTTATATTGTCCAACCTGTTACATTTCTCCAGAGATTATCTTACCCTCGTATTAATTTCTAAATTAGTTCTTTGGAAAAGGTATTCACTTGAGACACCATGCTGGTGATCTCAGATTTGTTTCGTTGTGCGAGTCTTGTGTGCAGTATTGGAGTAAAGAGAAGACCTTCAGTTTCCAAACTACATGTTCGGTTCACCATAAAGTGCCCATTTTTATAAACATTTAATGATTATTTTTCAAAATGTGTTCGTGTTGGCAAGCGATTTCAGGAATATTGTTGAAATATATTCCATTGCCATCTTGATGAGTGCTTCTGAGTCCTTGGTCTTGAATAGTATCTGTATCATATCTGCTGTTAAAATGGCTTTTACCTTTGTTTTTTTTATACAGTACTTACCTTGGTGTTTTGTCTGTGGAGGCCTATCAGTTTATTGTTAATTTTCAAAGTGATTCTTTTGATCTGTTTGTGTTAATGTGTACCAGTTTGGGTTTTAGTTTGTTTCTTTTCAGGAGAAATCTGTTTATTAACATTGTATGTAACACAAAACATTTGTGCTCAAAACTTCGGAATTTTAAAGATCTCTATAGCTTTTTAAAGGGTTCAGATTTGTGAGAATGAAAAGTAATTACATGTACATGAAATACTTTAATGGTAAAATATATTGTTCTTTTCAAAGTTTTTGTTTGGTTGGGTTTGGTTTTTTTGGGTTTTGTTGTTTGGTTGGTTGTTTTACTTTTTTTGACAGTTCATTTATTGACATGTTATTATTGTTCAAGCTAAAACAATATGTTTGCTTTAAAACTTCATGACTATAAAAATTTTATATACCCTAAAGATACAGTATTAAAGCAAAAACTTTATTTGATTCCATTTTTACCTTGAATAGAATTTTTTTTTTTTTTGAGGAAATTTGACTGAAAAAAAAAATCACTGACGGATGGAGCCCGAAATAACTACCCTTGCCCTGGTAGAGCCTTGTGGTGATGGGCTGGGGAGAGTTTCTCTGCAGGAGTGATGGGGCTTTGTGAGGAGGGGAGGGCACGCGGGGGCAAGGAGAATGTGACTTTGCCCTGCATTTCAGCGTTTTCATTTCTTTCTCCTGCGTCAGTCCTGACCTCAACAACCTCAGGCTGCACCTACCTTGATGTGACCCGGATCGTCTGGGTCTGGAACATTCAGATTTTTAACACTTAGTTTGTAAATCATATTTTCACTACTACTTTTAGTTTAAAGGAGGCTGTTATAATTATTTAGTAATTTTCCCGCAATTTCAAGTTTACCAGCTTGTATCAGATGTACTTGGTTAAAGTTGCGGGAAGCTGCATTTGCCTCTGGAAGTAATGGGTTTAGTTTTTGTTTGTCTGTTCGTTTTGTTCGTTTGTGCTTTCTTTTCCCCATCCTACTGCCTCCAGAAGAGGTGGTTTAAAGTGTTCAGCAGTGATGTGTGTGTGTGTGTGAGAGAGAGAATGTGTACGTTTTTGTATGTGTGTGTATGTGTGAGAGAGACAGCATATGCCGTAGACGTTGAGCTTCAGTCTCTACTGTTAGAAGCTTTTTTATACAGTTGTGCTGACATTTAGAAAATAAAAGTGAAACTGCTGTGGTAAGAGCTTATGTTTGTTTCAAAAAAGTTTATTTAGTCATCTGGGTTATATGCAATTTATATATTTGTATTCTGCTTTGGAACTGTAACTAGATAAGCTTGTCTACTATTTTTAACTTTGCAATAATAAAACAAGTATTTTGTTATCTATCTACTAGCTTCAGTTAATTTTTTTTCATTTAATTGTTCACTGGGGGGTGCACCTGGCCACATTTGGCTTGTGGAGGTCAGAACCTTCAAGAGTTAGCTCTGTCCTCCGACCATTTGTAACCTAGGGGTCAAGCTCAGGTTCTCAGATTTGACAGCAAGCACCTTTACCTGCTGAGCCATCTCATGGGCCCCCGTCAGTGTTGAGAGGGCTTTCCTACCTGCTTGCCTGCCTTTTTCCTCCTCCTTTCCTTTCTTTTCCTCCTTTTTTTTTTTTAAATCAAATAGATGACCTACATTGAAAGGTCATTATATTTGTATAATCTTACAAATATATCCAGTTAGCTGAACAATTTGAATTTTTTTCCAAGTTGAGCTACTAAGAATAAAACTTTATGGAGCTAGAAAGATGGCTCAGGTTAAAACCACTGACTAATTTTTTTTCAAAGGACACAGGTTCAATTCCCAGCATCCCCATGGCTCATAATAACTATCTTTAACTCCAGTTACAGTTCCCTCTTTTGGCCCCCATGGGCACCAGACACACAGACTGTGGTACAGCTATACAAGGAAGCAAAATACAGATTTGTAAAAATCAATTAAATGCAAATGTATTTCAATTGACTTTTAAAAGAATATTTAAAGAAATAAGAAAACAGTGTAGTCAAGATCACCGTGGTTAGCATAATGAATCGGTGTTAAATCAGCCTTTATTCATCATAATTTAATTTTTATTAGGACTGAAGAGATGGCCCGTGGTTAAGAGCACTGGTTGATCTTCGAGAGGACCCATCTCACTGGCCACAGGGCACAAGTGGAGGTCTTAGGACACTATTGGGAAGTCTGTCCTCCTTCCACCTTTACCCACTGAGGCATCTCACTGGCCCTTCATGAATGATTCTTAAAGTAATTTTATGATGTTTTTATGGTGATAATTTAAAACCAGGAAACAAAGGCATTCATTTAAAAGATCATAAGAAGATTACATGGTAAGTAATCTCTGAGAACAGAAACACTGAATGTGTTGGGAAAATGTTAATCACCCCGGTTAGTCCCATAAATCTAACAATCCTAAACCCTGTGGTGGTGGTGCAGGCCTGTAGTCTAGCTAGCACTTGGGAGCCTGAAGGATTGGGAACTTGGGGTCATCCTTGAGCTATCTAGCAAGGTAGGAGCCATACTGCTACATAAGACATCCTAAAACATTAATCCATTAATTAATAATATGTAATAGTCTCAAGTCATAGTACTTCATCAAGGGAGGAAATATGACCAGAAGTGGGATTTGTAAAAATTGCTGGGAAAAATAGCAGACCACACATGAAGTTTTCCTGTTTACCTTCTATTTTGTGACATTAGGGAAATTCATCTTGACTTCTTTCAGCCTGAAGTCACTGTTCTTACTGTCCTTTCCTACTAGCTATGAAATTGTTCCCCCTTATTTTTTCAGTGATATGTTAGTTCTTAACAGGCATCTTTGAGCCTGGAAAGTACCTCTAAGCACAGTAGATAAAACAGGAGGAGAACATGGAGGCAGAACAATGCCTTTTATCTATAAATGATATCCTAAACAAGAAGCCTTTAAAAGGCTCTGCGTTTACAGTCTGACCTAAATGATATCTTAGGTCTTCCCATCTTGAAATTTCAGTTTTATATCAATAAAAGTTTCTTTCTATTGATGGTCTATTTGGGAGGGAGTGGAATAGGCTACCAAGTATATCTCTAGATACAGAAACTTCCCATTCTAACCACTTTATATCTGGGTTCCACACCCCAGTGTTTGAAGCAAAGACATTGTCTAAGGGGAGGCCCATGCTGAGAGCATAAGTGTTATCAATAGGAACAACATCCATTATCTATATGCAATAGTATAACATGTAAGCCACTGGAATCCATTATTGAGTAGCACGTGCTTGCTATAAATCTGAGTGGACATGGTACTTGATTAATCATCCTTGGCCTGCTTCCTTTCCCAGTGTTCTGGACGACCTTACAATGATTAAATTTTTACCAGACTAAAGCAACTAGTTGCGTTCTTTTGCCTGAAACAGAACTCTGCTACACCTGCTTCTGGTCTTGTCTGCCTGGCACTCCCCTACTTAGAAATCTTATGAAATTGTTTTTCTAAGAGTAAACTGCTAATAACCACTGAATCTGTGTAAACAATGGCTCGGGACTCCACAGCTACTAATTGAGTCAAGTAAACATGACAGGAAATTTCTAAGGAAATTAAAACTCTTGGCATCGCAAATGCCATTTTGACCATTAAAAGTATTCTTGGAAGGCACTTGAGAACACTTGCCACTGTCTGACACTTTCTTAATTAGGGTTTCTATTGCTGTGATGAGACACTATGACCAAAAGCAAGGCGCTGAAGACAGGATTTATTTTATCTTGTACTTCAGGTAAGAGTTCATCACTTATGGAAGTCAGGAACCTGGAGTCAGGAACTAACACAGAGGACATGGAGAAGGGCTGCTTACTTTCTTGCTCAGTTTGCTTTCTTATAGTCCTCAGGATCACAAGCCCAGGGGTGGCACCACCACAACGGTCTGGGCCCTTCCACACCAACCACTAATTTTACAAATGAACTATGGGCCAATCTTAGGGAGAAATTCTCTCAGTTGGGGTTGCCTCTTCCCACATGAAGCTTGTGTCAAGAAGACATAAACTGACGAACACAGTCACTAGTAACTAAAGGCATTCACTTTCTTCCTGTTGGCTCATGCAAGGTCTGGTCCAAGAAAACTAGCGATGGTTAAGAAGGGATTGACCTTGTATTTTACTTGGTAGTACTGAATGACTCCCAATTCATTGAGTATCTGTGGAATGGATGGGTGACAAACTTCAGAGACAGTACCAGGATTTAATGTCTTCTGAAAGTGTGTAACTAGGTACCCTGCCTGATTAATACATGCAGTAGTTACATTTCTTATTGCTGTGATAAATTACCATTCCTTACAGAAATAACTCAAGGAAGGAAGGAAGGAAGGATTTCATTTCCCCTTGAAATAAATAAAACCCTCACAGTTTGAGAAGATACAGTCCAGTCCACTGTGGCAAGAAAATCATGGTGGCAGGAGGTTGAGAAACCTGGTCACATCGCATCCACGGCCAAGACGTAGAGAGTGAGGAACTTTTGTACCCTGCTAGGTTTCTCCTTTTGTGGTCCAGGACTTAAGCCCAAGGAATGGTGCCTCCATCCTTGAGCGTGTGTCGCCCTGCCGCCTCAGTGAACTGCTTTAGGTAAACCCTCCCAGGTATGCACAGGACACTGCATTTCCTGTCACCCTGACGGTCAGTGTTAGCTATCACACTAACACTGTTAGCTATCACACTAACTATCTTTACACATGCCTGTTTCTCTAGCTCCCTGACTATTTGGGACCTCTTGTATCTGCTACTTGGTCTACCTCCATTTCTCCTCTAAATCAGTGATTCTCTTAATTTTGAGTTTTGTCAAATTGTGGCCTTAACTCCAGAGTTTCTCAGTCAATTGTTTGGGGGTGAAACTGGAGATTTTTTTTTTTCACCTGTCAAAATCCAAGGCGTTCCTGATGCTGCCCAGTGCCTCATGTACTGATAGAAGTGTCTCACTGTCTTAGAGTGCTCTTCCCAAAGAAATATAATAATGCTGTTCCTTAGCTCGAAGATCTTTAAGAAAGATTACCATTGCCTGCAGAATAAAAGCTGATGCCCTACAGCTTATCGTCATTTAAAGCCTTCATCTGGCATCCACATGTTTTCTATTTCAATGATTTCACCAAAGACTTATATCAAGATGCTGAAGATGTAGCTCAGTGGCAAACTACTTGCTTACCATGCACAGAACTCTGAGTTCAATCCCCAATACCACAGTGTTGGGGTGAGGGGTGATTTGCCAGGCTCAATGCAGAGAGAAGGTGGAAGTACAGAAAGCTATAAACTCAAAGCTGACCCTCAATGCTGTTCGTCCTCCAACCTAAAAGCCTCCTAAAAGCTCCATAACTGCCCCAAACAGTCTCCTAGAGAGATAGGGTGTTCAAATACCCTCCCCCCTTTCTGCATGCGTGCCCCTCCCCAAGTCCACTGATAGGGGAGGTCCTCCTCTCCTTCTTTCTGATTTATTTTTATGTGTGTGATTGTTTGCCTGTGTATGCCACATTGTGCCTAGTGCCCACAAAGACCAGAAGAGAGCACTGGAACCCTTTGCACTTGGACCATTGTGAGCCACCATGTGGGTGCTGGGAACTGAACTCAGGTCCTCTGCAAAAGCAGCAACGGCTCTTCACCTCTGAGCCATCTCTCCAGCCCATATTCTTTTTTCATGGATGTGTGTGTGTCTTTGATCATGTGTATACACACATATGTGTGGGTGCATGTGGAAGCCAGATGTCGGCCTTAGATGTTTTCCTCAGTTCATTTCTACCTTCCCACCTGTTCCTTGAGACAGCATCGCTCGCTGAGCCTGCCTGAAGCTCAAGGTTGGCTAGACTCCACAGCTAGCCTCAGGGATTGACCCATCTAAACCCCCTACAGTACTGAGATTACAGTTCATGACAGCAGACCCTAGTTTTTATATGGGGAGCACAGTCAACACTTTATCAACTGAGCCATTTTGCCAACCCAATTTTTCTTATTTGTTTCTTTCCTCTCTCTCTCTCTCTCTCTCTCTGTGTGTGTGTGTGTGTGTGTGTGTGTGTATGTGTGTCTGTCTGTCTCTCTGTCTGTCTGTCTCTCTGTCTGTCTGTCTCTCTCAGGTTTCATTTTCTTCTCAGTAAATGTTCATACCAGGGACAGGGGTCTAAGACTGGTCTAAAAGCCCAATCATTGGGCTAGTTGGTATCATTCTTCACTGGGAAGAATTTGGGAAGTCTGGCCTAGAATGAAGTAACTCTGTAAGAGAAGCCAACACAGAGAATGTGGAAAAAAGCCAAGACAAAGCTAGCCACAGTGCCTCATATCTGTAACTTCGAAGCAAAGAACAGGCACTGTGATAGGAAAGCCTTTTATGGGGCAACTGA